CAAGTAAATTCAAAATTAGTGAGAGGTAAAATGATCAAGCTCTCCTTCCACCCATTGCTGGATCAACCACTGAACTCATGAGTAAAATGCCTTTCCCTCCTCTTTCTTCTCTTTAATAACTTAACAATTTATTCTTCATCTTTTCTAATTTTTCGGCAGGATTGACGGGGGAGGGGGCACCAGCTCTCCGCCCCTGTACAAATATCAGAAATATTTTTAAAAATTCTACAATTTCGTAATTATATTCCAAAATATCTATATTAATGCCATACCTTCAGTATGTGACATGTCTTCTGAGAGTTGTTCACCTGAATCCACAGTACCTGTAAAACCATCAATAAATTCCCAATTAATCATAAAAATCACATACCTATTCTTTTTTTATATCTTTGAAATTAATTTTAGTTTAATTTCGTTTGAATGGGATTTTAAAAAGTAATTATTATGTTACAATTATTATTAGTCGCATTCCTCAACAATTTAAATAATAATTAAAGTATGTCATTTTAGTCATCTAGCATCTGCCTAATTACAATTCATTATGCATTATAAGCAACTCTTACAATCAAGAACGATTTTTCCAATCTTACCTGCAAATAGTCGTTTATAGCGTACGACACACATTGCATCATCTTTGCATGGAAGGCATTCCTTTTCAAAGTTCCCCAGCCATTGTATGTGTTTCTTTGGTGAATTCTTGCTGCAAATGCTGCAAGGTATACATCGTTGGAATTGAAACCCCCTCCTGCCACCCTGTTGGGAGACCTCGAATGACTCCTCAAGAAACTCCAAAACCTACAAAAAAAAACAAAAAAAAAAACCATGCTTCTTTGAAACACTCGTTATATTGTTTAACTCATTTTTGATGAGACATAGATCATGCTGTCAATATAGTAGGTTGTAAGAAGGTTTGGCAGGGTTAAACCAAATACTAAATAAGACTATTAGGCTAAGTGACTTAATAATCACACAATAGGTTAATATCATTATTTTTAGAGGAATTACAAAATACCGTTTTACAGGCTTCTGGTAATGGTTCGAGGTCTTTCTGTGCTACGTCGTCTCGCTTCCTTCTAAGAATAGTTGTCTGAAGGGAAACCATTTCATTTATTATATAGTCTTTTAACGTATAATAAAGTCAATAACACAAAAAAATAAAACAGGTTCCTTGACAGTGAACTGGCTTAAACGAAAACATTTAAAAGATCAGAAACATCAGACACATATTAGAATTAGGTACAAAAAAAAAAGCAACAACAACACTGAAGAAACATTAAGAGAGTCGACTGTCATGGATCATTAAACACAATTATTGAGAGCTAGTTTGTCCCATTGAAGTGATCTGCTTAAAGTGTAATAAAGAAACGACAAATGGAAATAAACGTAATAAAACTAGCAATATTAGAAATACATAAGAGTATTTAGCAATATCAAATATGGAGTAATATAGTGTAATAGAATTTTACAAAATTCATACAAAAAACATGTATTACCCTCAGCAGTCGGTTTAGTCCAAAAGTAATTGCAGACATTATTACACGATGATGTTGATCGAAGTAAAGTTCTGCATGATCACGTGCCAGCTTTGGTTGTTCATTTCCTTCTTCGTCTTGAAACCTGTAGATAAACTCTGTAACCAGCTGTGGAAACAACTCGTCTGGAAGGTATCCACAGAAGTCATGGTAAA